AACCTCAAACTCTTGGGCTTAAGCGATTCTCTTGCCTCAGCCTCCCAAGTAGCTGGGACTACAGGCGCCTGCCACAATGCCCGGCTATTTTTTGTTATTGTTGTCGTTGTTTAGCTGGCCCAGGCTGGGTTCAAGCCCACCACCCTTGGTGTACCTGCCTGGTGCTGTAACCACTGTGCTACAGGTAAGGAGCCCCTAGTGCTTTCTTAATTCTTTTCAGACATTGTATGGCTTACTGCCTACAGCAGAGTAGACTGCTCCTTACAGCCACTACAAGGTTTGGGAAAAGAGAGAAGCAGCTGGGATCCAATGCATAGGTGGAGGGACTGCCTTTGGGTAGGAAGACAGATCATCTTTTTAGCCCCAAGGAAGGAGGTAAACATAGAAGGGCACAGATGGGGGAAATCTAAAGTTTGGTAGCAGGAAGCTGAAGGAGCTAGGACCGAATGCCTTCGGTTTCCCCTGTGAGGTCACCTGTAAGGCCATTCCTATTGAATGGGCCATTCTTTTGGCCTTTTGCAATTAAATATCTGATTGGTCAAATTCATACTCACTAAGCAACCTTCTACTTATGATTTGGCTTCCCATGTAGATTCGTCCACGGGCAAGAATGTGCTGACCATAAAGGTTTCTCATAAGCCAGTTTCTGAACACAATTTAGTTTCTGTGTAGCCTGGCTACAGATAACAGACAGATCATGGTCCTTTTTATAGTTACATTTCTTACTGAATTATTGGCGAAGGATCTGATTGCTTTTATACAAGTGAATAAAATAAATCTCTAGGCATTCGGAGGCATGGGCCAAATCCACAATTAAGCAGCAAATCAGGCTAACACCCCCACCCCCTAGGTCATGCTTTACTCAGCAAAAGCTGGTTTTTATTAGCTGTCAGTGGCCCAATTTCCATCTCTTCTCTCTCAATTCATTTCCACATGTCCCTGTTCATTATTTTAAATTAGGTGTCACTGAACTGGCCTACTAGTTTTTGTAGGAAGGTATTTATAAGAATAATATAGGAAATAAACAAGGACATCAGTGAAATATATTGGTATACCATCATTATTTATGTATTCTACAATTCATACAACAAATATTAGGAGACCATAAACACTGTGTAAGGCTTAGTATGAGAATCGTGGGAGATACAAAGTCCTCATCGTATTTATAATCCAGCAATAAAACCAATTAACTCCATAAACAACAAGCTTCCAAAAATATTTTTTTGGGGGGAAGACAGTCTCACTTTATCGCCCTGGGACTACCACAATAGCCAGGCATTGTGGCGGGCGCCTGTAGTCCCAGCTACTCGGGAGGCTGAGGCAAGAGAATAGCCTAAGCCCAGGAGTTGGAGGTTGCTGTGAGCTGTGATGCCACGGCACTCTACCCAGGGCGATAAAGTGAGACACTGTCTCAAAAAAAAAAAAAAAAAAAGTGATTAAAGCAGAAACAGGCTATCAAAAGAAATTCTGGTATCTAAGTAAATTTAAAAATAGGATTTAGAGACAGCCTTGCTTAGAAGCAAAGGTTAGGGCAACTCCTTTGGAATTAAGCATAAAAATGACTGAGAACTTTCTGATATAGAAAGATATGCTCTTTATAGAAGCAGTAGGTTAGGCTTTGAATTAATCTACAGATTAACCTGTAGGGGTCTTTCCCCAATCCTCCAATCCTCAAGCTCCCTTGCAAAACTGGATCTGTCCTTCCCTCCTCTCTTGCCCCTCTTCACCATAGGTCATGTTTCAGCATAAGTAGGATGCAGTTCCTCCCTGGCCTGGAATTTTGTGCCACTGAATCATTCCAATTATGCACGGAATCTTTCATACAGTACCAACCAAGTTCTGTGTAAACTGACTGTAAATGTGATGACCCTGGGTCTTTTAAAAGTGCCTAGCACACAGCAGATGCTCAATTAAGATTCATTTCCTCCTTTCCTTCCTTCCGTTTTTTCCTCTCACTTGGTAAGGAAGGGACAGAAAAACAGGAACAAACAAAAGATAGATCTCTAGTAAGACAGCATCACTTTGGTGTAAAAATACTGAAAAAGTTAAAGCCATTTCTTGTTGCCTACCTTGTGTCTGCGGGCTGTACGGAGATAGGAGTTTGGACCTTTTCTTTTCATATCCTTTCTGTGTGATGTCCCCTAAATAGCAAGAAACAGAAATAGGTTAGGCATTATTCTTACTCTGTGGCTGTCCACTGTAAAAATAAAATTAATTACAGAGTATTATAGAACTACTGCATATAGAATGGGGATGAGGAGGAATGTATATTTCTTTGCCCAAGATTTTGCTATGGATCATTTCCCACAGGCATGGAGCTGACTGCTTGTGGAAAACTGCAGAGCTTGCCCCTACACCAATCTTTGCATTGCAAAATCCCTGCATGCCATCACAGAGATTCTTTAGGCACCCTAGTTCCCTTGGTATTTAAGATACGCCACAATGGAATACTACAAGGCTGATGAACAATGATCTCTCTAAAATTTCAGTTTAACCAAATGAGTGCAATTGGTTTGTTAGGTATTCACTTATATTCCTATGTAGAAACACATTACATTAAAAGTCTAGTTAAGAGAAGTCAAAGTTCAGGCACTGGCATGAATTAGGTAATTAGGCTCATTGCCTGTAATCCTAGCATGCTGGGAGGCCGAGGCAGGTGGATTACTTGAGCTCACAGATTCGAGACCAGCTGTAGCCAGAGCAAGATCCTGTCCCTAAAAACCGCAGGCATTGTGGTGGGTACCTATAGTCCCACCTGCTTTAAAGGTTGAGACAAGATCGCTTGAGCCCAAGAGTTGACATTGCTGTGAGCTAAGACACCACAGCACTCTAACGAGGGTGACCAAGTGAAACTGTCTAAAAAAGGCCTTTGTGTATTCTAACACCTGTGCTGGAATTCCCACATCTTCTTCCTGCAGTTCACTGGTTTATCTTATTTATACACATGGCTCTGATTTCCAAAAGGTTAAATAAATTTTTAAAAGCACACATGAAACATACACAAAATGCATATACAACAAATGCAGTAAGGATAAACTGATAAACAGAGGAGTCAAAGTGGGGTTACAGTGGCAAGAAATGCGCTCAGTACTAAGGAAAGGGGAACAGATAGATGGGGAAAGAGTGAGGTTGAAAGGAATGGGACAGGCAGAGGAACAAGAGGACATCAGAAGGAGAACAAGCCATTCAAGCTGAGGGAAAAAAGACACGTGTTGGGGTGACATGATAGAGTACTATTTTCTGGAAAAAAAGTTTCTTTTACATTAGAGACAATTTTATTTAAAACGAAGCCTTACAAAGAATCCAATATATAAAACCAGAAAAAAGTCAAAATGTCATATAAAAAAGTACTTTATTTATTTTTATTTATTATTATTATTTTTTTTGACAGAGCCTCAAGCTATCCCCCTGAGTAAAGTGCCATGG